CAATGGAGAGATATCAAAATACTCATAAGACACATAAATCAGGTATTTAAGGAATATGAATGCAAAACATTTAGAAATGTTTCTATTTTACTTTCAAAACATAGTTTTAAACATTACAAACACGATCATGAAAATTACAAGATCGATCTCAAAGTGCAAGCATCGCTACAGTGTGTAAATATTACCTTTGTTTTGTGCCAATATAATTAAGAAATAACAATAATGATAATCTTAACTGGAACAAGACTTAACAAAGTGTCCGCTAACACTAATGAATTGTTAAGTACGAAGTCATACAGCATAAATGATTAAAGTGCTAATCTTTATTTCATTTTATTCAAATAAACGGATAATTGCTTTTCTGAACGATATCGTCTCCAGTGGCTCAGCGGTAAGTCTGAAGGCTTTTAGTGTTAAAAGGTTCTGATAAGCGTAATGAGCACAGCTCAGATAGCCCATTATGTAGCTTTGCGCTTGACAACAAAGGAACACACAAAACTGAATGACTTCCTATGTATTGCTATTTTTTTAATATTTAAATCAGTTTACAATGGTACAAATACAAATAAGAGCTTAGAATGTTGAAAATTCAAGGTAAAAAATAAAAATGAGATTATTTATAACATTTTGATAATAGGATGTAAATATTAACTGTGTTTTCCGATTTATTCTTTATGATTCTTTGTCGCCTGAGGTCTATCCTCTCGTCATAAATATAGCAGAATTCACTCTAGTTAAACATGTTGCTGCTCTCACTAATTCGTAGATATTTTCAATAATTTAGTATTATTTATTTAACAAATTCGTCTGCTGGATTTATTTTATTTTCAAATAAACTATGTAGTTAGCATGTCTTAAACGTTTCGTATTAAAGTTTTGGTGTTAAGAACCTTGGAGAGGATATCCACATAAAATATAATATATTTTTGAACATCATCTTCATGATTAATTCTCATGAAGTAGATTACTTCAAAGTCGGTGTGAGTAGAAAGTTTATAGTTTTTGATAAAACTATGAAAGGACTAAAAGTAAAAGAAAAAATATAAACATATTGAAAATATTTACCGTGAAATATTTCTTAAACCTTCAAATAAATTACTATCAAAAATTTACTTGTTGACTGAATAAGATGGTATTTAAGCATTCAAACCCACTGATATTCTTTAAAGAGCTTAACAATATCTGAATCCTTACTCTTAAAGTAGTGTTTGTACTTCATGAAACTTGCCCAATTTTTTGTATCTTCTGCAATCAAAATTCGAACTCGGGACCTTTCACACGCAAGCAAGTGCTTTAATAACTAAACTAAAGCGTAAATCCTCAGATACTTTTAGTAATACACTTTTGCAACGACTCTGACTACCACAATATTATAAACGTTCGCGAGGCATTAATAAACAAAACTGTGTTCGAAATTATAATATTTAATTTATATGTTGATTTTATTCGGTAATATTTAGATGAAATATAAATGCTAAAATTTTCTCAATTTTCCTTACTATATGAAAACTAATGCCTAAAACTACAAAAATCCATAACTTTTGATTACTCAAGCTAGACAAACAAAGAGCCATTTCATTTTATCATCTCTTTCGTTGGTAATTCTTAAATTATAATTGACCACTTTCAGATAAAACCCTCAGTAATTGTTACATGGCTGAAGAAAAAAAATATCAGCTAACGAAAACTTATTGAAAGAGGTGGACTTAATCCTTGTAAATCCTATTTCAAGTACTAACGAAATCTTATTGAAAGAGATGGACTTAATCCTTGTAAGTCCTATTTCAAGTAGCTAACGAAATCTTATTGAAAGAGGTGGACTTAATCCTTGTAAATCCTATTTCAAGTAGCTAACGAAATCTTATTGAAAGAGGTGGACTTAATCCTTGTAAATCCTATTTCAAGTAGCTAACGAAATCTTATTGAAAGAGATGGACTTAATCCTTGTAAGTCCTATTTCAAATAGCTAACGAAATCTTATTGAAAGAAGTGAACTTAATCCTTGTAAATCCTATTTCAAGTTTAATTTTCACACATACAGATGCTTTGCAAGTACTTAGAGAACATCAATGACACTACTTACTCATTACATCGTTAATCAGCCTGCAGTGTATGATATTTATTATTCTATCAGATGCATACGGTATAAAAATAGTAAATAAAGATACATATAACAATAGCAGGATATCATAGGATATCATCTTCAAACACACTAATTCATCTTAAATTTGCAGAATAATCTGAATACTTTTAGCAGCTCATTAACAAATGAAATGCTTTGTATTTTTCTTATTTCTTAAAGTACAGTTACTTAAAAAATGAAATACAAAAATGCCTAGTTTAAACAAACATGAACTCTAGAGACTAATTAGATAGAATTGTGTTGTATATTGCAAAAACAACTCGAAAACAAACCAGCTAAATAAGATATATTCTCATAATTAGGGGCAGTTTTGTCTAAATGACCTTTTTATAAGTGTATGCCTAGATAGCATCTTTCAAAAGGAAGATTTATAAACAAATAACTTTAAACAAAACTATATCTGCATAGCTTTTAGACTTAACATGTAGAAACATAATTTTATTTTACTAATATATGTTTAATCATGAAGATTCCTAACTTAACTAGGCAGCCGTATTTACAAATGTGATAAGTTTGACCTGATGAAAAATCATCCATGGAGTGAATATCGTGCGGTAAATTGAGTTGATTAATTCAAAGAAAGAGAAGTCATAAACATTAGCGGAATTGGTAGCGTTTTAAAACTGCATTATATTTAATGGATCAACATCTGTATTATCGAACAATAGTCATGGGAAACTATAAGAAACTCTGAGAAGGATAAAAAGAGGAAACTTAAGAAATCAAATTTACATTTATTAAGAAGCTGAAGTGTTTGATCACGTAAATATATTTAGTTTTCTGCAACTAATCCTAAGTAGGAAAACTATAATATGATATTTCTCGTAACCTTAATAAGGATCAATGAAATTAGTAAAGAATGTAATTTAAAAAGTAGCCTTGAAACTCTGTTATTCACAAAGATATAAGCACTGAACATTGTTAAATTACCAAAGATATAAGCACTGAACATTGTTAAATTACCAAACATAAATTTCTTTAGTCATGTAACGTTATTGGCTTCACCAGTAAGTTATAAGCCATTTTCACCAACAAAACAAAAGAAATATAATTAAATTAAATTAAGAACTCCTATATTCATTACACTATTAAATAATCCTTTTCAAATAAGTGAGGTAGGCATATCAGACTTTCATGTCAATTTGTAATGTTTATTTTAAGGGAAAGTAATAATGAATTAACCAGAAAGATGAGACCTAGCTTGAGTTGTTGTTGAGATATTTAATGCCTTTGATTGCAGCACCTAGCATTAATTTCCACAAACCTGTAATACACTTAAACTATACACTCGGTGTTGAAAATATACCTCATTATTCCATTAATTCCTGGCTTAGAGTACTGGACATGTTTATTTATGTCTACGACACTTTTTTACACGCGGTGATGATTTTGAGATATTTTGATTAAAGATCGATTGTAAGTAATGAAAAAAGAATAAAAAATATGGTGTATTAAGTTTCATCTAAAACTGATTGCTAGAACAAAAAGGCTTAATCCTTTCTAACATCTTAATTTGTCAAGGCTGGACTAATTATCTACTTTTTCTTTCGTTTAGTTCACTTTTCTTGAAGACTTTTCTATCTGTCTGCAAGAACATTCTGTATTTCAGCTTTTCCAAGACCGAATACACATTCAGGTAACGAGTTTCTATGTTTAAGATCGGAGTATAGGAATAGGTTCAAAGAACCAGATTCCAAAATCGTATAAGAAACTGAATGCGCTATAATGTTTTTAGAGCAATATAAAATATAATAAAAAACGTAAATTCTATGGAATCAAAAAACAGCAAAAACTATCCATTGTTAAGTCATGACCAATGAGTTGGTAAGGTTTTTCTCTTGGACAAACATTAATAAAATACTTCACAAGGTGGAGCAACAAAGATTACATTATACTATCAATGTACCGTTCATAAATGCAGTTAGAAATGTTTTAAGCTGATAATGACTAAATATATTTAAAAAAAAAAGAGTTAACACATAAGTTAAGACATAACTCTATATTTGATTAAAACAGCCTACAGAAAACATTAAAAATGTTTATACTTAATAAAAACATTCAGGTATTAGACTCTCCAACTTGGCAATGTGAAACATCCAGAAAAATATTTTGGTTATTTGAAAAATACAAAAATCGTTTCCTCTATATTTTAGTTTCTAATCTCATTAAGAACTTCTGATCAAAAGTAAACTAGCTATACAAGTCAGAGCTGAAAACATTGAGGGTATCGTACATTAATAACTACAACCAGATATAGACCTCATACCAGCTTTCTTCGCTACCCCAGCGTTACATAAACCATATTTTATTGGGAGAGTAACAAAGGGAGGATACATATTAAAAACTAAGTGTAAAATGACACATGTAACGTTTCAGACATAAACCATATTTTATTGGGAGAGTAACAAAGAGAGGATACATATTAAAAACTAAGTGTAAAATGACACATGTAACGTTTCAGACATAAACCATATTCATTCACTTGCGAAAGAAAAAATAATAATCAGAGAGAGAGTAACTATTATCTAATAGAACATGAAATAGACTAGCAAAAGTTTGGCTTCCCAACAACATCACTAATCTTAGGGAAGTTATCTTGAAGTTATTATTGGAAGAAATTGCTGCAATCACAGATAGATATTTCTTTGAAGAAAAGCACTTATAAAGCACCCTGCTAGTAAATGGTGAAGTAATAGTTTAAAAGCCTATACGTCTATACAAACACAAAGCGTTAACAACTCTTTGTAAGTTCTATAAAATGTTACTTTATTTATTTCTATTTTATCAGACTTTGACGAACTTCAAATAAATTGAATAGTGTATGAACTTATTAAAGTAAAACAGGGAAATATATTACCTGAATATGTAGTGGGTCTTGGAAAATTTAAAACACAGAATTTTCTTGCAGACAGGCAAAAGTCTTCAAGAATAGGAAACTAGAACAGTGGGAAAAAAAGCAGATAATTAGTCCAGCTTTGAAAATAATATGATGATAGAGACACAGAATTAAGGTTTTTTTGTGTCCTACATGAAAGCCTGTTATACAATAAAGTTGACCATTACTTACAACCGATGTGTAATCAACATGTTTCAAACTTATTACCACGTATACAAAGTGTCGTAGGCATAAGTAAAGAAGTCCGCTACTCCAAGCTAGGAACTAATGGAATAATGAGAATCAGGTGTATACCTAAGACTTAAAGAAATCTTGTTTTCAGTTATACAAAACGGGTGTTTAATGATGGGAAGACTGAGTTTACTTGTAGTGAACGAGAACTTATAGCTGGAAAGATTTGTCACGTGACAAACTGTAGTTCTGCTGTAGTGAAAAAGCTTCACAATAAACTATCTACAATGTGTGCACAGCGGGGATTGAATCCATGATTTTACCCTTATAAACCTTGAATCTTGCCGCTGAATCACTGGGGATCACGTGGCAAGATTAAAGTGAGACCTAGGTTATTTCTGTTTTCATTCAAGTATGGTGTCCTCCTGTTTGCATTCAAGTATGGTGTCATCCTGTTTTTATTCAAGTATGGTGTCATCCTGTATTCATTCAAGTATGGTGTCCTCCTGTTTTCATTCAAGTATGGTGTCATCCTGTATTCATTCAAGTATGGTGTCATCCTGTATTCATTCAAGTATGGTGTCCTCCTGTTTTCATTCAAGTATGGTGTCATCCTGTATTCATTCAAGTATGGTGTGCTTCTGTTTTCATTCATATATGGTGTCCTCTTGTTTACATGGTGTCCTTCTGTTTTCATTTATGTGTGGTGTCCTCCTGTTTTCATTCAAGAAGTATGGTGTCCTCCTCAGTTCTGAGGATCGACGATTATGATTCTCCGCTAATTCAAGCTTCTCATTTCAAATCCATTTTCTTATGTCGCCGAGCCTGCCTTTTCGCTCTTCTTCCTTCGACTTACCAATTAGAATATCTTCCAACTTTTCCTCAGATCTAGTTACATGCCCAAAGTAGCACACGTTCTGTTTTATACACGTGCCCGTTGTTGTCTTTTTGTTTTTTGTATATCCCAGTATTTTCTTATTAGTTTGTACTTCTAGGTTGCTGATGTTCGCTATTTGTCTATAGCACCATATTTCAAATGTATCCAACTATCGTTTTGTTTATTTCAGCTATACACAAGACTAAATAACTAACATATACTTACGTCAAAATTTTTTACCTAATTAAATTGGCATAAATTTGGACATTCGAAACAAAACAGTTAGGAATTAGTAGCATTTAAAAACCGGAATGATAACCTACTCTAAACTGTACTTGTTTGTCATACTATGTTTTGTTTTGTTGTCGATACCAGATAATGTTGTAAATCACTCACTTGCCAAGACTATCAACCTTCAATACTTTAGTATTCCTCCTTATATGCATAATTGTGTTCTAATGTTGATGTAATTTAAGAAACCCGTACTTAAATAAATGTATATAATATTCAATATTTGTATTTAGTTTTTATATCTGATTGTATTCATTAATATATAGTTCACTTAAACTGTTTTAGCTCTCACTTGTTATTTTACCTTTCATCAGAAGTTCATAGTAATTATAATATTGAAATAATACTATGCTTGGTAGAAAAATCATTCTCAAACGTTTTATCGCTGAATAGTAAAGCTAATCAAAGCTTTAGGGTCTAACTGCTTGAACTGTTTACAGCTCGATTTAAACAATAAAATAAGTTTTGAAAATTAAACATTTCAAACTATCATTATAATAGAGAAAAACAGGAAAAAAGTTTAAAAAATTAAGTCAATAACACAAACACTTTCCCGTTGTGTGCGAAAATGTTAAAACATTTTTAATTTTCAGAAACTGAGTATTTCCATATCAGATTTAACTAACTTGTGATTATACATAAAGACAAAATACATTTATTTTATACACAAAGTGCATGAAGCTTGCTATGAGTTCCATGTTTCTAAGCGTTTTTAACAATAATATATATATAAGCTTTAGATACTTATCTAGCCTGTAAGTACAGTTAGGAAGTCTCACAAGGAAATGAATATCTGTTTCTTAGTCATATATTCACGTTGAGATGGAGTTAAAGAGAGAATGAGCGCGCCATGCAACGACGTTGTAAGAACGCATTCACATTGGTTATAGTACGAGAGAAGTTAAAGCGGAAAACAACACACTAAAATTACGGGACGTCTGATTTGATAGCGCGGCTAATAGATAGAAAATGTTTCTAGAAATATACCATCTTTACCTTTCTTATGTCGCAAATTTGAGTACTTTAACAGCTGGTTGCCAACAATTAACTGTGATGAAGATCAAAGCAGGCAATATCAACAGCGTTAGTCATGAAGGTTATATTAAACTGAAAGTGAACCTAACTTGCTTGTCAAAAATTGAAATAAATCAACGTTATATTACTTTGTTGTTCCTATATTACGTTATAAAAGTAGAGCTTATAAAAACCTGGTTCTATAATGTTAAGTAGTAAATAAATAAATAAATGTTAGATAGATACACATCGTTTCTTTCATAAACTCTGAGCATCTTAAGACCATGTTTCCGTTAGCAAACAATATTACTTGTTACTTGAGGTTTTCTGTGTACAGTGCAAAGGTTAATCAAACGTTAAAAGTAAATATTATGTATATCTATATATTACATACAATTTTTGAAAGCAAGTTCAGACAAACAAGAAAATATATGACTTGTATCAAGTGGTTTAACGTAGACTGTTTGGAAAAGTAATCAAAATGGAAGTGTTATACTATTTCATTACGTGACTCACCACACCGAATAAAAATGTCCAAAAGCTTTAAAAGTATTTATTGATAGAACGTTCACTGTTTTATGCATCATTCGACATCCATAACCTTAGTTATTTCTTTGGAATTTGCTAACCTTTATTGTATACACTACTAGTTTAATAGTTAATCTGAATTGAAGTAATCTAAACCTTTTATCGAGCTAATCATGAATTATTATGATAATTTATCGAGAATTAAGACTATCGTCAATTTGGTGACAATATTTAGGGAGAATAGCAAAGTTATTAAGTTATTGTTGTACGTTGCAAAAAAATAAATTGAACTCTACTGACTGAGAATTTAATATTGAAACTTATTATTTTATATTAGATAATTCGTTTTTTGAAGCTCAACCTCTATTGATCAATTAGAAATCTGCCCATGTTTTATATTCTTTAAATACGATCTTATAACACTACTGAGTTTAAAGAATAGTATTAGAAAATAAGAGTGTAAGCAGGCCACAATATTTCTTAGTTTACAAACTTTATACGATACACCGCCTCTAGTGAACTTAAAGAGAATTATATGTAGTTCTGTGATACAGCTAAAATTATATTCTTATTGTGTGAAAACCTCTGCTAAGCTGGTGAAGCATGATTATAATTAATTATATTTGTTATATTTAGTCCTTTAAGTTTTTTAAGAATTGGGAGAGTGTATAATAATAGCATTTCAACCATACCATATCTGCCATATTTATTGCCGACGACGCGTTTCGCTCGATACAGACTTCATTAGGCCGACTGGGCTACAACAAACAAACAAACATATTAGTGGTCGGAACACCACTTATATAAGCCATTTGTTACAACAACAATTATTATGATGTGAACGATTCTCTAGGCTCGCGAAACATGATTATAAGCAATTACTTTGTCTTGTTAAACACAATGCTATACTATGGGCTATCTGTGTTGTGCCCACTACGAGTATCAAAACCCGGTTTTTAGTGGTGTGAGCTCTCAGAATTTCCGTTGATCCACTGGGAGGCATTATTGTTGTCATAAGATATTAGAGTTAAGTCTATGATATTTGTAACACTACATTCTTTATTCAGTGTCTTCAGGTTTTTCAATAAGATAAAAGAGTGTATAATAGAATTTCAACCACACTATTGCTGCCTACGCATTTTGATGAATATAGAGCTCATCAAACTGGCTAGGACACAACAGATGCAGTAAGGGTCGGAACACTGTTTATATAAGTCATTTGTTACAACAATAATTGTTATGGTGTGAACTTTAACATACATTTATGCAGTCTATTGTTGGGCCTGATCTGGCTAGCATTTTATTATCTTTAAATAGAAATGCATTTCACCTTTTGCACAGGCAAAACTGAGAAACAAAATTTACAGTAGGTCCATCTTTAAGATCAGAATACAGAACCAAGGAAACAACCATATTTATACTAGGTGAGAGATTACCCAAACATAGTCAGAAATATGCTTCTCAATTCACATCTAGCAAATCACCATTTTCCAGAATAAAGTCTATGTTGACTGGCTGTAATGGTGGCTTCACTCGAAGTGCTTGCTACTCTGTAAGGTTGACCAGCATTCTGATGGCTCCTGTACGAATTATGAACGTTACTTCAGGTCTATGTACTTTTGTCAGCATGACCCAAGCACCACAAATTCCTGAAAGATAAGGCTGATTGATAACTATTTTGACACAAGCTGACAGCTGTACTCCTCTTCTTTGTGCACAAACTCGACATAAATCTGCCAGTTTTTTGTATGTATGTCAAAAACAGTAGTGACAGCCATAACCTACCTGTGAATTTATTGCATCTGGTAAGTAGTCTGGCAGAGCTGAAAGCTTCGTCGTTTTGTTATAAAACAAGATACAGACAGTTAGTTTAAACCCACCTATCAGCCCATAACCAAAGAAGGCGCCTGTAGACCTCACACTTACAGCACTACCTGGAGAGAAACAAAAGTTGCATTTGGTGTGGTGTGGTACAGACAAAAATGATATCTGGTGCAGCTGTGTCGAAGTACCAGGATGTGTTTGCAGCTGGGTTGTTCTCAGCAAACGATGAGCTTTCCATGATGCACGTACCTCACAACTACAGTCTTCCTGAGGTATAACCACTGTAGGTATACTGCTTTCTTTAGAGTGACGATATCTCCCACGCCCAGAATATT